TAATTTGAACAACTTCTACAAACATTAACTTTAATTGTAATGCAAAATGGGAATATTTTGTAATATGGAAATTTTTTGTCAATGTAGACATACGGTGACAAAATGTTTGTGATGAAAATGTCTTCTATAGTAAATCTACTGTAGTTGTGAAAACTCACAACTGCAAAACCTCTACCTTTAAGCCTGAAAAGCACAATAGACATGCTTATGTCTCTTTCTTAATGGTTCTATTTGGCTGCTGAAGCATAATTTAAGAGAGGTCAAATACACAATTTGTGCATATTTTCAGAATTCAAAAAGTGAGAGTCATGGACACACAACCCTTAACTCTTTTGAGCATTCATAGCTTCAGCTCCAACATTTCCATGGCAACTACATATCGAACATCTCAGCAAAATTTAGGCCATCAAAGCTAATGACTCAGCTTTATGATGTATAAAACCATTTCAAAAGACATATATGAAATGTTTTTTGAAGCTTTTCAAGATTAAATTGTATAAATGTATACTTAAACACAACAAAAACATCTCACATTACAGATTATATGACAAACTGTACATGTTCTAAAGCTTGGTTCATACTACCAATTTTGTAGTTGATTTTCTATTCTTGATGGATGCGAATGTGTGAACTTGAACCCAAAACTATAGAATATTTTATTGCTATTCAGAAATATATATTTCTTAATCTAAGTAGGGCATATTGTGGCTCAATGGGTTAACCTAGAGACATTGTCAGATTTTTTGGTAAACCATTGAGCTGCAGAGCTTCCCCATTGATGAGTAAAATTGTCTGGTGTTAGATAGTCTGGCATAATGGAAGTGAACAGTTTTGTTCCTGATGTATGATTCCAATAAAAACTTGCTTTCTGTTAAGATAGTAGATTATTACAAATGTTGACAGGTGACAGATATATTCAATCATCAGTGGTATATCTGTTACATCTGTACATCCAAAATGGTCATATAACTTATATTTATTCAACCTTCACCATATATAATAATATTAACATTACCAGGGATGGATCCAGCATGATCTGGTAGGGGGGAGGGGGGTGCTCTGGTGCCAAGTTGTGTCGGTGATGTGTGCTGCCCGCCCATCAACTTGCTTCGCTACTGCAAAGTCTTGCTTGACTGCTGTATTTGAATTGTAATTGTTGCTCACAGTTCGTTTATCATCATGTTATTACTGAAATTACTGTATCTCATTTTGTCTCTAATAATTTTTTGCTTTACCATGAAAATATAGCAGACCCCGGCACCCCCTCTGGCCAGGGCTAGGGGGGGGGGGCGATGCACCCCCCAACACCCCCAGTAAATCCAACCCTGGATATTACTAATAACATGGATACAATACATACATTACATTATAAATATGTAATACTACTGTATACTAATGACAATTGATGTGAAAGCACCACAGTTAAAATCAATTACTGTGGGCCTTTTAACGACAAACATCTAGAAACAGCAGTTAATAACATAGTTCAAACTTCAACAACCTTTATAGTTTAAACACAGATTTTCATGTTCTTGCATCATCTGCATCAATGCAGGGCTTCGAGTAATGGGTCATTCCAGAAAACATCCATACCACCCCCACGGAGGAAATTGGAAGTTAACCCCCTACCCCCTTCGGATGTCCTAATACATTTACTATTATCAGAAACAATTTTATCTCCCCTCCCCCTCTGGACGGCAGAAATTTCCTCCGTGCGGGACTGTGGATCTTTTCTGGAACGACCTAATAGTCTCCTAACAATCTCTTAAATGTATTTGTACTTTAAGAATGTGTTAGGTTCTCTTAAGTCTGCTGGAAGACAGTTTGTTACACATGAGAAATACAAGCTCTGGAAAGTGCTAGACAAAGTCCTGCTTTCTGTGGGTGGAAGGATAAAATGTTGGTACCAGATGATCTGGTCATTCTTGTGGGAATTATGGGTTTGGGGACAACATCTTCAGATATGTCCACCATACCATTAACTGAAATGTCTTTGGGCTATCCTTCAACCAACTTGGCTACCAAGATGTATAGATCTCATATTAAATCTGTAATGCAATAATACACATTTCCTTTGTCCTGAAGTGTTGCACACAAATACGCCATGTTTTATGAATGTCAAACAAGCCATGAACCCAACTGACTCAATATTGTAAAAATTAATTTTGGGTGCCAATCAGCCCAATGAAATAATCTCTTCTTTCCCTGAAATCAGTCCATTCCTCATACTGGTCATTGCCTCATTGGGTTCCATCAGCTATATACAAGACAAAAATAGATAAATTTCAAGTACAATATTAAAAACATCGACAATAGCGTTTGGTTGCCTGCTGCAATTTTAAATACAAGAATAGAGTTTCCTAAATAAAGCTCTAGAACTCAGGCATTGTCTTCAGTGCCATCAGTGATCAGTGATATATTTAATATATTAAACATGTCATTGCAAATTGCAGAGAAATTACCTTACAAAGACTTTTCTCGTGACTAAATACTAAGCAGTTAGATCTAGTGTAATGGTCCAATCATTAAATGAACATTCCCATGCATAAAATTGTCAAAGACAGTTATAAAACTTACCTGATTCGAAAACGCTTGAAATTCATATAATTGAATCGATTATTGTTCGACACTCACGCCCGTTTTATCCAGTATAAATGCGCGGAATTTCATCCATTACACCTTATTATCATTTAGAAATGTGTGTTCTTTCATCCCCTATAATTTTTATGGCGATTCGATGAAATTTGAGCGTTTTATTGAAGTTTTCTTGCATCGACTCGGTGTTTCGCCATACAATTTACTATTAGCTTGCTGCGGTTTTACTTGCTAGGAAGATGGCGGACCTAACGCATGCGCAGTGGAAAAAAGGTGCCATGTCGCACACGAGAGTGGGACTTCTGTATAGGTCCTTATTCTGTGGTTGAAACGCACAAGTTACCAAGGGCAAATTCAAATGTTGTCAAGCGGAAATGCGAATGTTGTTATGGGAGATTTAGGCACTTTTGGCTAATCATAGTGAAGAAGGCGTTGCCCCAAATCAAACACATAATTGCTGTGCTTCGGGCAATGCCTTCTTCACTATGATTGGCCGAAAGTGCCTAAATCTCCCATGACAACATTCGCATTTCCGCTTGACAACATTTGAATTTGCCCTTGGTAACTTGTGCGTTTCAACGATCAAACTGCGGGGTAAAACTTCTTGTATCTGATATATAAACTCAAGCCGAAGGCGAGAGTTTGTATATCAGATGCAGATCGGATGCGAATGTTTTATCATACTTAAAAGATGACCCATCTTATGAGTTCATTGGCGAAGTAATTTTAAAAATAAACATTGTCTAAGCCGAGAAAATCAAAGCTGAAGCTCATGTAAATCAGGACAAATCTTTATCCGATTTACAAACATTGATTAAACATTCACTTCTTTTGTATTTTCCTCGTGAATTATTAATGAATTTTTTAAGACTACATAATAACATGATAACACACTAACATGCATGAGTACATAATAATATGATAACACACTTACAGGACTACATAATAACTTGATAACACACTTACATATATGATAGCATATATACTTGAAGCTTGTAGCATAACTTGTATAATAACATCTACAAGCTTGTATATGATAGCATAAACAAGCTTGTATGATAATATGCTTACTGACAGAATGCTTGTATAATAACATGCTTACCCTATGTCATTAGAAACTTAAAAGACCTACATGTATACTATGTTTGAGCCTGGAAGCTCAAGGTTAAATTTAATGTAAAATTTGTTAAAGTGAGGGTTCTTGAGAAATGTTAATGGAGAACCTTTGGCTGAATTATTTATATTACTACAAGCCCGGAATGGTCCTTCAAGCATAAACTTCTCATAGCATGTATAACATAAAAAGTAAATGCAAAAAACTATTTGGGATAACATTATAAATACAGTATACATTTATTAGACTTATAAAGCATTTGCAAAAAATTCAACTATAGGCCCTCTGGCAGGAATCGAACCTGCACTTGTGCAATCCCAGTGCAGCGCTCTAACCAACTGAGCTACAGAGTCCTGTTGTTGAGCTCTTACCATAAGGTGATTAAGGTCATGTAATTAAGTAAATGGTGTGTGCTAATCATCCTTACTTGCAGCGCTCAGAACTAAGCTGTATTACGAAGGACACAGCTGAACCTGATTGAGTCGAAGGCTCACTAAGGGCGCCTCTGACAGCCACCTTATGACTCATGTCTGATCACGGAGGACAGCTACAGTGGAAGGGTCAGTTAGGGGCTAATCTCAACCCACCCTGTCAACATTCCCTGCACTGGGAGGAAACCGGAGTACCCGGAGAAAACCCAAAACTTTCAGTAACTTCACTAACTTATTTCACATACTGCGATTTGCAGTTGAGCTTAGAGACAGGAAGTTTTACCGCACAGTTTGATCGTTGAAACGCACAAGTTACCAAGGGCAAATTCAAATGTTGTCAAGCGGAAATGCGAATGGTGTCATGGGAGATTTAGGCACTTTTGGCCAATCAAACACATAATTTCTGAGCTTGGGACAACACCTTCTTCACTATGATTGGCCGAAAGTGCCTAAATCTCCCATGACAACATTCGCATTTCCGCTTGACAACATTCGAATTTGCCCTTGGTAACTTGTGCGTTTCAACGATCAAACTGCGCGGTAAGACTTCTTGTCTCTAAGCTCAACTGCAAATCGCAGTAAGTGTCAATTGTGGATCGAATCCACAATTTCAGAGGTAAAAGGCGCTAGCTCCGACAATTGTGCCACCGAAGCCCCTATTTAGCTCTCTGTGTATGTGAGTAAATATTAATTTTGGGCATACCTCACTCAATTGTTGTAATATTTGAAGGAATTTGAAGATAAAAATCGAGTGGACATTATATACATTATATTGTATATAGTATCCACTCGAATTTTACAATAATACTATATGGTCCTTCAAACACATAGATGATAGACTTCTCATATAAAGTGATAACATGTATGATGTATAATATAAACATCAAAAGTAAATGTGAAAAACTATTCGGGGTAACGATCTTAGTTAACAATTTAGAGTAGAAAGACACAAGGACTGTTAAAACATTTATACTTTAAGCCTACATTCCATCATTCTAAAAAATAAATATGCTTAATTCATCGACTATGCAGTATGCAAATGCAAATATAAACATGTATGCAAATGAAAATATTTGCATTTTTATTTGCATTTTATACACAAATATACGGATGTCACCTGTATGTAAATAAGAAAATATGTAATTGCATTTGTTATTTTAGTGTAATTCAATAGATTTGCCTACCTTTTATCGATAATACGACGTTCAAAATAAGATTTTTCCCCTCGAACAAACGAGCAATATACAACCAAAACGCATAAAGCACATGTGTTATTGTCACTCGACCCAGTCTTTTTACTCGGAATCAACTAAAAATAGCAATTTAAACAAAGCTCAGCAAAAGGGGTAGTTTTGAAAAATATGGAAAATTATTTATTCGAAACGCAAAATTACCAAAAAAATTGTGGTTATGTATTATAATCCACTTTAATGATTTCTAGTGATAAAAAAATTATTGAACTTACCCTGTGTGCAAAAAAGCCAAAAATTGAAGTGTCCAATAATCCTCGAAATTTGCACAATTTTGCAGTGATTCAGGTAAATTTTTTTCGTTTTGCAAATGTTAGATACATGCTAAACATGATTTAAGCCTTTTGGTTTCAATATTGGGAAAAAAATATTTTAATGTTACATAAAGGAGCTATTTTAGGTTACAAAAAGGAGCTGCTCCTTTTTGTAACCCGCCATTTTACCTATAAAACGTAAAAATTTAAAAAGTACAGGTCATGAAGAGCTCAAACTCACCATGCATATTCATTTAGTGGAAATACATCTTGTGTCCAAAGATGAACTGATTTGAAGTTAACCTACGAATTTTAGCTTGAAAGTAATTTGAAATTTTTTTCTGAAGTTGTTTGAGCTCATGATAGCTTAGTACATGTATTGCAGAACTGTTAAAGATATTTTGTCCTCCTAACTTTTTAACAAGAAACGGTGGAAAGAAGTGGTGCGTACAGCATTAATCCGGCTAGTCGCAACCCCCCGATCGCTCTGGTCGCCGCGCAAAAATATTAAAAATTGACGATTTACACGATGATGTTCCTTTTTGTAACATCCGCCATATATATTCGGAAATGTAAAGAAAATAGTTACTTCTGTGATGCGCCTCTTAAATACGGATAAACTATGATGTATTATAAACACTTCATGAAAATTTCAAAAATATCTGATAAATTTTGAGGAAATTACGGCGACTAAAAAAAGGAGGTTACAAACGACACGTGAGAATGATCCATAGGTAGGTAGGTAGGTAGGTAGGTAGGTAGGTAGGTAGGTAGGTAGGTAGGTAGGTAGGTAGGTAGGTAGGTAGGTAGGTAGGTAGGTAGGTAGGTGGGTAGGTAGGTAGGTAGGTAGGTAGGTAGGTAGGTAGGTAGGTAGGTACGTAGGTAGGTACGTAGGTAGGTACGTAGGTAGGTACGTAGGTAGGTACGTAGGTAGGTACGTAGGTAGGTACGTACGTACATACGTACATACGTACATATGTATATATGTATGTATGTAGGTATGTAGGTATGTATGTAGGTATGTATGTAGGTATGTATGTAGGTATGTATGTAGGTATGTATGTAGGTATGTATGTAGGTATGTATGTAGGTATGTATGTAGGTATGTATGTAGGTATGTATGTAGGTATGTATGTATGTAGGTATGTATGTAGGTATGTATGTAGGTAGGTAGGTAGGTAGGTATGTAGGTAGGTATGTAGGTAGGTATGTATGTAGGTATGTATGTAGGTATGTAGGTATGTAGGTATGTATGTAGGTATGTATGTAGGTATGTATGTATGTAGGTATGTATGTAGGTATGTATGTAGGTATGTATGTAGGTATGTATGTAGGTATGTATGTAGGTATGTATGTAGGTATGTATGTAGGTATGTATGTAGGTATGTATGTAGGTATGTAGGTATGTAGGTATGTATGTATGTAGGTATGTATGTAGGTATGTATGTGTCACGAGACAAGTATGTATAGCCATTCCAGCGACATTAACTTAAGTAAAATGCTAGAATGCCTCGTAAATTTTATTGCAAAATGCAAATTGAGTGAATTTGAAATCGGATTTTGTCACAGCAAGAGATGTATAAAGTGACATTTTTTGTATGATTGGACCAATGTCCAATCAAAATTACTTTTGCTCGGACATTTGCCAAATTTAGTCTGACATTGTCCAATGTCCTACAGTAATTTGCAGCCTTGTTCTGCCAATGCAATGTCAATAATTATGTGCTTACTGTACTAAAGCTTCGAAGAAGTCACTACGGTTTTCCACTAAAGTAGTGTCTGCAGAGGTGTCTGTTTGGCTCCACTCCATAGATTGCGAATTGACCATGTTCAGAAAACTAGAATCATCCCTGACGTCTTCCCAATCCATGTCAATGTCCAATCCCTCATCCTCAACTGCAGACAAATCCAAATCTATGTCATTAAAAACATGTTTAATAGCTTCTAAAATTCCTAGAGCATGATTTTTCCTCCAAATTTCCACATTCTCAATTACGTCATCGATTGTGAATAGTTTGTGACATTAGAAGACTTTTGAGTGTTGCCTTATCTTCTGATGTCACTGATCGGATAATTGTTGGAATATCATTGTCATCATCATTCAATTCAATTCAAAAACATTTATTTAAACACGATATAAAAATAGCAGCAAATTGCTGATGTGGTCGTGTGTTTACAGTATAGTAAAATCTATTTACATATGCTATGTTAATATATATAGTTTATATATAAATTAAATATCGTAAGAATAATAATAGTAAGAATATATAGTAAAAATATGACTAGAAAAGTTTAAAAATAGATATAGTTCAGATCATGATTGTTTGTATAGGAGGTAAAATCCATTGCGTCAAGATCTTGTTGCCGTATCAACATTTTGAAATTATTATGTCGTTCCTCGTTTTTTAAGATTGGTTGGTAGTTTGTTCCACAATACTGCTCCCCTTGATCACAAGGTCTCCATCTTGATCACAACTTATGACTGGTATTTTTCCACAATCACTGTTACCACATTGACATGTCTGTGCACAAACATCACAACACTGATGAGGTAAGTCAAAATGACAGCTACCTAAATCGAAATCCGCAAATATCAATTGACGCAAACATTCTGACGTTTCATTAGCGAGGACTTTCTTCATTTTAGGAGTTGAATAACTAGCTAGCAATCCATTATAAAGGATGATGCAATTACTTGGCTTTCCATCCCGACCGGCTCACCCACTCTCTTGCACATAACATTCCATATTTTTAGAAGGCCCAAAATGTACAACATGATGAACGCTTTTACAATTAACACCCATCCCGAATGCAATTGTAGAGATTAAGATGCGTATATGCCCACTTTCATCACCGAGATTTTCAATGATATGCTTTTTCACATTATCAGGAGTTGATGCATGATACATTTCAACAACTCGATTCTTGGGTTTAGCACAGCCTCGAATAAATGATATAATAAACCGCAATGTTTTCGGGTTTGACAGTATATCAATGTTTGGTACGCTTCCACTCCTTTCTCATTCATTTCGTTGAGGAGGAAAGCAAAAACCATCTTCAAGGGTATATTATTATCAATGTACTGGACACTGTATCGTAGGTTGTGGCGATCAGGACTTTGCTTTACAGTATGGGTTTTCTTTGGTGGTAGCTTTAAACTTTCAAAAATGCAATCAGTCGTTTCTTGCGTAGCGGTCGCAGTGAGGACCACAAAATTGGTGTTACTTGAAACAAGAGACATCAGCTCACCAAGATTTCCATACCACTTTCGGAAGGGAATCTGTTTTATCCCTTGTTCACTGTTGCACATTCCCCTACAAAGAACAAAGAACTGTATATATTCTATTTTATATCATTCACTGGCTTGCTCATTCACTATGCATTGTGCAAGTGTACTGTGCAGTAAATGCACAACTAC